GTCGATGAAATGTGTGAGGGTAGTTATTCTTTAAGTGGAGCTTTGGGTGTGGATAGAATTTAATTGTCAATTTTATCGGGGTAGTTTTGGAAGGACAAGAAAGTGAGATGATAATTGAGAGTTTTGGCTCAATATATAGATTTAAGGGATAAGTATGGTAAAAGTTATAAAATTTATCGTGAAAGTGCAATTAAGTCCTACAACTTTCAAAAAGTGCAATTAAGTCCCGAAATTCTTTACAAAATTGCAATTGAGTCATGAAACTTTGAAAAAATACAATCAAATCTTAAAACTTGTCAAATTGGTGCAATTAAATCCTAAAACTTATTAGGATTTGATTTCGTTTGTCAAGTTGGACAGAGTTAATTGAAGAACTTGATTGCACAAACTTGATGAGTTTTAGGACTTGATTACATTTTTTAAAATTTTTAGAAATTAATTATACTTTCGTGATAAATTTTAAGACTTTTAATACACTTGTATTTAGGATATTTGTTAATAAAATTCAATATATATGTAAATATATATGCATATATGAAAACCATAAGTTCTAGATTAATCATTTGTCCTTCCTTGCCATAAACGTAACTCAATCAGCATATACGAACGATCAATCATATAAAATATTCGATATCCTTTGGAATTCTACGAGTGTTTATCCAACTTTGTGGTGACGAGAATCGTTGTCCACGTGTTAGAAGATAAACACCGTGGCCCCACGTTACTTTTCTCGAAGCCCTCCTTTTCTTTTCATCGTATATTGCGTTCATCGGTTTCCTCCTTTTAGTAAGTCTACAATCTCAATCAAAGCCCAACGCGTTAAAGTCAAAAAAACATGGTTGAAATTAAGAACATATGAGATGCTCCTGCCGAGGGACATGCTCTAATTTTTTTGTAGGTGTAGGAAGGAGAGAAGAGGGGCGCGGCCGTTAGGCGGAAGCTCCTTTTTTTCCTCCATATTTTTGGGAAAAAGAATATATTTTTTTTCCCCGTGATCTAGAATCGGAGACACCGCGTAGCTAGCAATCTAGGCCCACTAAGCCCGATAGGGAGTGTAAGTTATAATCTCTGGTCGATTGTCGACTCGCAAGCTAATTTGAAATGAATTTGAACGACTGATCTCATCAAAGTTGTAGATTCAATATGCCCATTAGAGCTTCAAACCTAACTCAAACCCGAGTCGTGTTTTCAAGTTGGAGCCCAAACTAACCACCCGTAAACGTTGGGATTCGATCTTGCGTCGAAACTCGCTCATCTAACATCTCTCCTCACATATTGGGAGCTAAAAGTATTCCTCCTTTCGGTGCAAATAAATAAAGAATCATTGCAACTTGTACCCAAATTTTTAACACGGACGTTTCGTTGTCAATCCCACATAACATTACCATTGCTAAGTCTATAAGATTCTTTAATCAAATATCTCAACTTTATATGAAATTTGAAATCGTCGATAACCTATAAAAATCCGCATGGGCACGAAGTATATCGAACCCGAGCGTCAAGACGGATTGTGTCGTGGCCGTCGAGAAGGAGAATCACTAGTTTAAGAGTGCGATTGCGAAAAATGCATGATTTTAAAGAACTTTTTTTCCAAAAAGTTATCATTTGAATTACTTCAAAAAATGAACGGACGAAAAATAATTTCTTCGTCCACGAAAATATTTAGACACGGATCGTTGTCCATAACAAAAATAAATTTTTCATTGACCAAGTGATACGAGTAAAAAAATATATTTTTCGAATAATTTATCTTTCGTAAAATAAATGGAGCCCGTAAAATCAGATGTATCGGTTCAAAGTAATCTCAATCATTGGGTAAGTGAAGTTCACGAGATCGATAGCTTGATTCGAATTTTATGCGGAAGTGATTTAACGGCGGTCCCCGTCCACCGAGACACGCGGTGGCGCCCTTCTCTCGTCCTTGTCAAAACACGTGCGCGACTCTCGACCGCCACAAAGCGCCGTCGAGGTTTGCTGCCGTGTGGCCGCGCCTACATGCGCTCGGGACTCATCTCTATGGCTATGAATCTATGATCGCTCTCCAGCCAATCACGCAGGAGCCCCGCTTGACAGGAATGTGATTTTTATAATAAGAACGATTTATCAAATTGTTATCACAATGAATACCACATCAAAAATGCCTTTTTTTTTATTACCTATTTTGTTCAGCATTCGGAAAACATACATATATTTATGTGCAAAAAATAGATGCATAAATATATGTGGGATTTTTTTGCACGACATCGGGTGCATTTTGAAATTCGTATAGTGAATCTGGGTAGCCCGTCAAATCAGAGCGGCGTTCTATGACAAGACTTACGAGTACGAATTAAAGATTATCAGACTTTTAGCGTGACAAAGAAAGATATTCAATTTTATTGTTATCGGACTTACGAATTATGATGCAATGGTTTAGGTATAAGAGTTATGATGCATTTAATCATGCGTGGCGTGTTAACCAATCCTTTCGAATGATGTTTGACACGTACAATCATGAGTGGCGTGTTAACCAATCCTTTCGAATGATGTTTGGCACGTACGCTAGCGTCATTTAAAAATTGAATTGTGCATGGCATGACTAGCTCGCAAAGGAACCGGGAACCCCCCGAAACTGGCGGTTCCCGGTTTCAAGCGTGAAGCCGCCTCGCTCGCTCAGACCGAACCGGTATGCGTGTGTGTGTATATATATTTAAAAAAAAATCCATGGAATCTGCTTATAAAAACAAAACAAAACAAAAGGGACGAAAATGGATCTCGGTTTGGAGCAACCTCCACTTTTTAACTTTTGCATTTTCTTTCGAATGCAGCTCCCACTGGCACTTTGATGTTCATTTAAAGCAATTTTGAACAACCGGAGCAAACAAAAAAAGGAAAAAAAAAAATTGTTCTTTTGATCTCTTCTTTTCCCTTGGGCAGCTGTAAAATCAATGAAAAATCACGTGCACCCCGGAGCTAATACAATAAATTAAACCGGAACGCAACCAAAATGGGCAGAAAAGGCCAAAAAGGAACGAACTCCAACGGAACACAAAAATGGTAAAAAAAAAGGAAGAAAATTGGAAAAACTCCGAGCCGACATGACATTCTCGGAGCCGAGCCGGGGGACAGCCACGCTGGCTGTCCTTGGGACATCACGTCCGAGGCCAATCACACGTCATCGGCTTTCGACGGGTGACGTGTGCACATCTTATCGGGCCAATGCCACGTCGCGGCATTATTGGGCGACTGTTGCTGTCCCACCCCGGATTTCCCCACGCGCCGGCGGTCGTCCGCCCTCCACGCGCCCTCTCTAGGTTGGAGTTTTTGTCTAGTTCGTCCCTCTGTTTTATTTAGGTCCGTCCTTTCCCTATTTTTAAGTGTACGGTCCTCCTTTTTATTTCTCTCTAATAAAAAATTAAATTAATTCCACGAAAGATCCCAACTGATATATCTATAATAAATTTATCCCAAATTAATTTTTTCATCACAAAAAACCCTAAATTGGTACATCTACGATAAATTCATCATAAATTAATTTTTTGACGACAAAATATCCCAAATCGATAGACTTGTGACAAATTTACCATTCGTTAAATCGGATTAATACAACGAAAAATCACAAATTGATAAAACTATGACAAACGGAGGGATAAAACCCCAAACTGGTACACCTGTCAATTGTTATATGTCATCAAACTTAGCAATTCGACGGTAAAATTTAACGGAAACTAATGGAGGGTAAATTTGTCATAGGTGTACCAGTTTAGGATTTTTTGTGGTCAAAAAATTAGTTTTTGATAAATTTGTCACATTCGTACAAGTTTAGGGTTTTTCGTTGTATTAACCCTAAAAAATAACAACAGAATATAAATTAGTATGGACCTAAGTATGTCCTTAAACTATTTCGCATGAATTCTAGGATGTTAAATTGGGGGATATTCTATGGAGAGAGGGAAAAAAAAACTTCCTCTCTAATTAGGGGGTTGGGTGTGCAGGCACACCAGGATCTTAAAATAAGGAACGTAAGCATGTCAGCCCGCTAGATGTGTACACTTGGATAGGCGGGGCGGCCCCGATCAGAGCTTCTTTGCATGCCAGCCAATGTTTGCCCTCCACGCGCCCTCTCTAGATTGGAGTTTTTTTTTTGTCTTGTTTTTTTTTTATTGGATGTCTCCGAAGAGACTTTTGTCTTGTTCGCCCCTTTCTTTTTTTTGGGTCCGTCCTTTCCATTTTCAAGTGTATGGTCCTAATTTATTTTTCTCTAATAAAAAATAACGACAAAATTATAAATTAGTAAAAGGCGCGTCTTCATTATTAACTGGAATGTACATTTTCACCACAATCAGAAAAATACATGCCGTACCAAATAAATGCTAAATAGCTAATTTCAGGACGATATCAATTAATACACTTTACCCTACATTAAATAATTCCGTACATATCCAACCCTACAAAATTAGTTTCGTACATACAACAGTAGCAGTTAAAATAGAGATATATTTATTTCAACTGTCATGTTTCGGTAATTGGTGTTCACTAGGTGAATGATAAAATAAAAGATAAAGTCACAAAAAGTCATATGCGACATATTTATCATGAATTTTTTGTGACATAAAAAATCTCAAATTATATCCATATAAAATATTTATCATAATTTTTTTTTGTGGTATAAAAATCACAAAACTTGTAACTATGTGAGATATTTATCCTCCGTTAAAATTTAATTAGGTGATTTTTTAGCCAAAACAATGTCGTTTTTATACCATAGCAACATTGTTTGCTTTCTGGCATCCATGTAAATAGATTTTTAACGGTTCTCATCGACAGAATTGTCACGGGGGGCAAATGTGATACAGGTAGAAGTTTGAGATTTTTGGTGCTACGGATATCACGATAGACATAATATATAGTTTTTTTGGCGGCTTTTGCCCAAATTTTTTTTTATTAGAAGAAAGTGTGGGGCACGCGCCTTTAGAGTGCTCGGGACAAGTACAAATACGAGGCCAAGATATCGCCATTTCCATTGCTAGCTTCCATTTGCTGCCATCAAACGCACGCTTTTTTCCACCAGTTTTCCGCTCTTATCTTCCCCATCCCCTCCTCCTCCGAGAAAATCTCGTACTTCCTTCACAGCAACTCTCATTTGCAGCCTCAGACCCACGAAGGAATCCCCCGTGCGAGAGAAGAAAAGCCCTCTTCATTTTGCGTCCAATCCGCAGCAGAATTCGACACCACCATGGACGATTTGCTCTGCAGCATGCAGAAGAGGAAACCCACCAAGAGATCCAAGCCCAAGAGCAAACCCATCAAGGTCGTCTACATCTCCAACCCCATGAGGGTCAAGACAAGCGCCTCCCAGTTCCGGGCCCTGGTCCAGGAGCTCACCGGCCGCGACGCCGAGCTCCCCGACCCCGCCAAGTTCGACGGCTCCGATCCCGACGGCGTCGGCGCGGTCGCGAAGGCCGAGGCGGCGGAGGATGATGATGATGATGCCGTGGAGCCAGGGAGGAGGTCGAGTCTCCCGAAAGCGGGGTCCATCCAGGATCACCACCACCATCATCAGAATCACCCGAGCGGTGGTGATCTTAGTAGACTGGGTGCCGGCAGCTACGAGCCGTTGGATGATGAATTATTCACTCCTCAAATGCTGGAGACACTCTCGGGCTTGCTTCCGCCAAGCCTGTCGTACGAGTCCTCTCGTATGGATCTGGCCTAAGGAGAAGAAGCCTGAGAAGTTAGACGCGGAGCGCGAATAACTGTGAAGTAAGTGCTAGGAGAAGTGACTTTTACTTTCGTCTTTTCTTTAGTTGCTGTACATGTATGTAAATGGCGCTTAGGTACGGCGTAATTATGCCAGTAAATAAGCAGTGACCAGCCTCAAGAAGCAACTTCGTGCTTGGTTCGATCCGGTCGAGACCGCATAATATGCTCCTGTTATTAGAATCCTATGAATAATCAATGTTCTTCGATCGTTTCATCGAGTTGTTGCGCCCTTTGGTGTTTAGTTGTTGGCCTAATTTGAAGAATTTATACCCAATTCCGTACCTCTCGTGATATCCGTTCGAACCGGTTTAGATGTTGGATGATGAGTTGGGTAAATCGTTGATAGGGAGATTTTCTTACATGCGAACTTACGATGATTTCGGAAGAGTTGGAGCTTTTAGGTAAGTTTTCACGTTGCCGACATGGCGGACCGAGTTACTATGGTTAGGATTAGCATATGCCTAACCTGATTCTTGATAGATCGAGTCAATCAATAGAGACAAAAAAGCGAAAACGAGGGCCGATTTTTGAGAAATCTAGCCCTAGCAAGGTAGCCGACGCTTTCAGTGCCTTTTCTACTTTTTGGCTGCGAGGAGTGTATACACCAAAGAGCTGGGTTTAGCATTGAAGTTGCACAAAAGCTATATTGCCCGTTGGTAAAAGCCGCAAGTTTTGACAACATTTTCTAGCTTTTTCATGCACCATCTCCAGTTGATACTCTCCCAGAAAGTTAGCCTGAATGTGCACCGGCAAAGATGAACATCTCGTTGAAAATATGAAGATGATTGAAAAAGGTCACCTGAGTCCATGATCTAGAGAAGTCCTGATTAGATAACACAACCCCTATCCGAACAAAACTATAAGAAAGTGATATCAGTATCAGTTTGCTCTTTTCCCCGGTTAAGTTAGTGTTAGATGCCAATATTATCATTCACATACGTATATATATATAAGAAACAAATTCATGTACCTGGACATTGCGCTTAGTCCCAAAAGATCAGAATTTGCAAATCTAGACCATTTTTCTATACTCTCGAAGGAACTACAACATGATAAGTGCGATGTTCTCAGAAAGGGTAGCTCTCTTTTTAGGTTACATCCGGGGATAACACTAGAGGAAAATCGTACGAGTTTTTTCTGAGCACAAGCAATACTTTAGCTGGCATTAGAGCGTTCTCCATCTGAGCATCAACACCCAAGTTGGAGCTTGGAGTTAGAGATTTCTTTGCCTATACATGGCTAAAGCTTCTAGCTTCCTCAGTGCAGGTCTTCTCATCATTGTAAGTCTATGGCTTGCATAGTTATCACCCTGATCATAACGAAAGACAGATTTAACCAAACTCTATTGCGTATACATGCATGCAATAACTATGTATCCGTCTACCAATGTGCATGTTTGTGCAGCGCGCAAGCTTACTGATCTCGTCGGGCGCATTGAACCGGAGGCGCCGCTTATTAATGAGCTGAAAATCTGGTACGAGAGAGAGCCCTAGCCCAAACTGATGCGTGCATGTACTGAGCTAAGTTCCTGTACGTGCTCCCTCCAACTTGCATAAACATCTGCCTGACACTTTTTCGAATTCAATGCGTTTGTTTTTGTCCGGTTCACGGGTTCACTGTCTTTGGCCATCTGCTTGTTTTTTTGTGATCCAATGGGCAAAATATTCATTTGTCATGTAATGCCAAGTGATGCTTTTAGCATTCATCTTCTCTGGATGTATCAGACGTGGTTAACATAAGGTTAAAGTAGCTTGCAGCTGCATGAAGGGTTTAATTTATGAAATACTTATGTAAATATATATTTATATATATTTAATCCAACTACTCTTGTTGGATTTATTTATTCAATAGTTATAGGCCCACGTATCGGCATGCCACGTGCGATTTCTCTTATTCGCGTGTGTTCGAAATGTTTATGTTACTTTCTTTTTTTTCTTGATTTTTGTGGTAGCTCACAAGGTCGAGTGAGGTTACTCAATTAATGGTGCTACTTCATCTCTCTTACGGTCGGCTTCCTAGCAATAATTTTTTTAGAGCCACGTTTCATCCATGAACGATTGGTGGGTATAAATATGGATATTACCCGCATTTATTTTCGATTAATCAGCTTGGACATGAGTGGATATTCCTATAAACTCGGGTCATCTACCAATCAAACAGGTGGTCCCATGCCTCTTAGGCTGTCCTAATTACTATGGTCGTACCACGATCGGGCAATTACCGGGACATGAAACCTTGTTAAATTACCTTCTTATACTAATGCAAGTGGACATGGATATTCTCTATTTCCATAGGGGTTCCCTATTGGCTAAGCCTTTTTCCAGGTTCCAATTCGAACAGTGGACCAACATCTCTATCGGCCCAACCTGGCTCTTGCAGTGCCAGAAACTTTCAACAAAAATCCCACCTTCTTTTGGAATGGATGCGTGTGCGTAGAAGACAGTGAAGGCACGCGTGTGATGCATACTGAACTGTGGGCGGCAATCTTAGGTCCCAAAAAGCTGTCGTGCATCAACAGAGATTTCAATGGAGTAGGGTTCTTCTAATCCTCAAAACGCTGGATCGAACAAGGAACATCGGACCCGAACTCTGGGTCTCTTCTCGGCAGACAAGACAGTCCATTTCATAGTAGGTCCCTCCTGAATTAATCGTCACGAAGCCGTACCAAATTACTGATGCTACTTGACTCTGCTTCGATGTATATCCAAACCGGTTGGGAGCAACTTGAGGACGCTGCACGTCGTCTTCAATCCTCTGATGCAGAAAATATCGCAAGCAGTGATTGCTTGATTCGATTGATTGGGGCCTGTTGACCATATCGCACCACTGGACTCTAGCTCCTTAAAGTTATGGGAGTCGCTGCGGTGGACTCCTCTACTGGACTTCTTCCTCCTCCTCCTCCTCCTCTTTCATTTTTCTAAGGATTCGACAGGAGAAGGTTGAAGATGTCTAATGGAAAAGCTATACTCTGGTTGGTGGGGAAAAGTACTGAAAAAGTCCTAAATATATATATTTTTAGAATTGAATCTTAAGCTTTTTGTATTTGTGTCAATTCAGTCAATCTTGTCAATTTCAACCGGAAATCGCTAACATAGACACTAGCCGCCCTACGTGGCGTAGCCAGCGCTGACGTGGACAATTTTTAATAATTTTTTGAATTATTTATTTATCTATTCATTTATTTCTCCTTCTTTTTTTTTTCTTCCCTTTTGGCAACCGGTTAGAGGAAGAAGTGAAGAAAAAAAAAGGAAAGGGAAAGAAAAGAAAAAAGAAAAGAAAAAATTCAAAAAATTATTAAAATATTATTTAAAAATGTCTACGTTTGCGCCGGCCGCGCCACGTAGGACGGCCGGCAAATGTGTTAGCGATTTTCGGCCAAAATTGGCCGAATGTATTGAATTGGCACAAATGCAAAAGGTTTAGGACTCAATTGGCCAAAAAAAAGGTTTAAGACTGAATTAACATAATTATAATAAGTTTAGGACTTTTTTTGGTAATTTTCCCCTTGTTGGTGCTTCAATATGATCCATTTATTTGAATAACCACTTAAAGTTCATCACTTCAGATGTCGGTTTTCTAAACAAATCTTTTAATCCCAGCATCACTATTCTTAAGAAATTCACCATGAGAAGAAAAGATCATGGTGCTTATTACACATAAATAATCACAAACTTGGGGCATGATGACATGTCTGATAATCGTGCAAATCTTGTTGTGTCTAGTTACCCTTTTATTATACATGTGTTTGTGTTGAGCCAGTTCGACGCGTTTCTTAAATTTGTCATGCTTGGGTTGGCCATACGTGTGTTATACTCCTGTTTCGATGAAACACGACACGAATAGGCTTATAGATAAGAACTTGCATAGCCCAGATGGTTGGGTCTAGGAGCCCACGCAACCCAAGAACAAAAACCTCACCAACTTAATACATACAAAATTTAAACATAGACACCGCTAACAAGTGCACTCAGAGCAGTGTTTAGCATGCTTAATATGAAATAATTCAATATTCAAAACAATCTTAAGGGATGATAAGCGCATTCAACATCATTGCTCTCGAGACTGAGATTTAAATCACAATATTTGCTCATTCTTTTGGAGCCACTTCTGCATCTTTGGTACTTAATCGGTATGTACTTAATCGGTAGGTGGAGAAGGGGGATCTGTTAAAAATTGTAAGGATTTGGGTGCTCAAAATATTCAATTTTTTTTTAGTTTTCTGTCGGAGGATGAAGTCAATCCTTAAAAGTAGAAATGAGCGGGACTCGGTAGAAATCTATCTACGCATAATCAAAGTTATTGCAATTGGAGTAATTCTAGGGTTTTTTTTATTACTCTGTTCCATGTCAAAATGAAAAAGAAATGAAATCAAAGACAAGTCACGATAGATTCGTGATGAAACTAAAGTTGGATGACATGTATATAGTAAATGTTAATATGATTAAAAACTCAAAACCGGTACATTCGCGTCACATTTACTTCAAATTAATTTTTGTGTCACAAAAATTTCCGAATTGATGCGCGCGCGTCACATTTATCCTTAACTAATTTTTATGTCGATTTTATAGATGTAAGTGTACCAATTAAATTATTTACTTACACATTTACTCATGGATTCAATATGTATAAAATAACTAATTGAGAAGATTTAAAGATAAAAAAAAACAATTGAAATCATCTCTTCGCTTTACATAATAATATAGATAAAATACGAAAACCATTGACACAATACCAAATCTTGACATATAAATTCGTTATAATTTGACATATTACTTTTACACGATTTGTTAGAACTTATAATAATTTTATTCTCGTCCAAAACATGAAAAAAAGGTTAGAATTTTTTTTATAAAAAAAAGCAACTCCAAATGATCCGGGCTCTTTTAATTTTGGCGATGGCCCTGGCTTTTTTTTCTTTTGGCAATAGTGAAGAAATTACCCCAAATTATGTTCTCATCTTTGACTGGATCTGGACATATCCTCTTTTGGAAAGGCAAAAAAAGTTTAATGATTGCACAAACATATCAATATATTTGGAAAGTAAATTCCCTAAATCTCATTTCTCTATCTCCATTCTTTTTTGGGCCAGACTGGTTTCTCTCTATCTTCAATCACTTCCTCAATGTCTATAATCAAAGGCAATCAGTACATGAAAGAACTCACAATCGAGAGAGAGTACTGTACGACTATACATTAAAAAACTGGCTAGAGGATGGTGGACAAGATGAACAAAAATTCGATTTTACCTACAAGCATAAGCTCCAGGAGCATTACTTTTCGTGATTGGTTGATAACTTAACCCGATGCTCAAAATTGTCGGAAAGCTCGAGTAAGTGTTCATCAGCTGCTCTATTCCTGGAAGACTCGGAGATTGATTTCCACTCGAATTGGAATGTTCTGTGTGTAAATGAGTTCAGTAAGTCAAATCATTCAGAACCAACATCGACCCCTCTTTGCTTCAAGTAATGCTTGGCCTCGACAATGTCCTGCAAAAGATTCAACTCTCTTGCCTCAACTCAAACTATATATTCTAGTTAAAAAAAAAAAAACTCAACTAAAATGTGCGTAAAATATGGGCAGGTATAGAATACATTGCTAAGTGCCAGCAAATTGTACAACAATGGAGCAATTGTTCTGAAAGACGAAATTCATATGATTCATTGCAGCTGTGTGCCATCCTATTATCACATCATGGATATTTCACCACGGTCTTTTACCACTCCTTCCAGAGACACCAAGCACAACAAGCATGAGCTACCCACTCAGAGAGTAAGAAATTGTGCTAGATGTAAAGTCAGGTTCAGGTTACCCCATACTCCTGTGGTTGACCCATGAGTCAGCCTTACCACAGGCGAGCCAGTTAATAAACTAAATTGAGGAACAAGTCCTCTTGCCATAGAATGCGTCCCTCTTACCCTGCTAGCAATAGAATTCACAGTCGTCCACAATGCCCCGCTAGTTCTTGCAGCATGCAGTCCCTTCAAACCACCTGCTAGATTAAATCTAGTAACAACTCCTCTTCTTTCTTTTGCTAGAGCAATGTGACCCTCTTACTTCGCCAAAAAGACAATCCATGGTCACGTAAAATACTAGACTAGCTCTTAGGGGACTACATTTCCCCTAGACCGCCCACCACCCCCAAACAACACACATAGAGTGGTCACTGACAAGCCATTGAGTAAATACCATGGGTACTGTTTTGAATCTCAGACCACTTGCTTCTCGAGGTCAAGACAAAGTCGAACTTATGGAAATACAATGATATATGACACCGGAGCCATATAATTTATGTCCCAGGGGTAATAAGTTAAATGAAATGCTCCAAGAAACCTGTTAAACCAAGCAGCAAAGTGCCAACCTAAAAGATTGGACAAGATTTCATAGACCGCCTAAACATGAAACCAAGTGACGTCTTGAAAAATACAATTGAATTTCAAAACCGAAAACATATACAGACTTTCTTCGAGAAATGCTGGAAGAGACTAAATATGTTAGGAGGTCATAACCTCAATGATGTTCTTAATCTGAAATAAGAAAAAAAAAATATAGGCAACACAACTAGCTCCCTCGAGAAAATTTCCTTTTAGGCATTCACTCATGCACTTTGCATGCAGCACACTACCAGTAATATTCTTATTTAAGAAATTATAAAGAAGAGACTCAGTATAATCCTTACAAAAATATACACGCTAGCACCGAAAAGAAACAGATACAAAGAGAAACGAAACCCGTTGAGAGTCGAAAACAGAATATCGATGTATGAGCCTTGTCCAATAACAAATTTAAGAAATTTCGAAAGACGAAATACCTGCTGCAACAACAATGCCTCTCGAGGACAAGTTGGAAAGTGCATTAGGCCGATGCCAACCAATAGCAATCCATAGCATCCCAGTGAAACAATGAAATATATTGGTAGCTGAAGGACAATTAGAAACTCAAAACGTCAAGCTATGCACGAAAGGAAGGATCATACAAGTGTAAAGGAGATCAGAGAAGGGAGAGGCAACTAAAAAGATTCTTACCAACCAAGTCTGACTTCGTGGAACTACACACATCTCCAGGAGACCAATCCACATGGCAGAGATAGCCATCAACAAGGTAATTATCTTCACAATATGCTTCATTATGCTCAAGCAATCCTACCCTTCGTCATACGAAAGTACAAAATCAGACCAGCAAGAGCTAATTTCCCACCAGATTTGCAACAATATCTTTCAGCCATGTCAGCGAGATATAGACTGCCATTTCAGGATATTCTATACAGAAATTTCTCAAACAAAACATTTTTATGTTCCGTTTTTCACTTTCAAGCCAGTATTGCAAACAGTTGTGCACACCACACATAAGTCAATACTAGTCTTCCCTAACTAATTAGGAAATTCTAAGACATGGACATCAAATGAATACCTTATTCGACTTAAAGAATATATCTGAATCAAGGGATGAGGGAGAAATTCAGGAAGCCGATCGAATTTGGTGTGATCGAAACTTTAAACCCAGAGAAAATTTTGAAGAATTAGCCAGAGTTTCAAGAAATGCAAACCTTTCTGTTGTAGGGAAGAAAAAAAATCACACCTTGAACGGATTGGTGAAACTTTTAGAGTCAAACCCAACAAAGCACCTAATGAAAGCTTGGAACAAATACGGATGGGGACTCTTTGAAGGTGGTTTAAAGGTACTTACTCAATAGACAGTTTGAATAGCCCATTGATCAAGAGCATGGGGTCTCCCAAGCCCATTCCTCGCGTGACGTGGGAATTTCGTCGTTTTTATGTTCCTTTAGCCTAAATGATTCTAGGAGTCGTCACTAACCATTTGGGGTCGGCTATAAACCAAACGAGACGCAAGAGTGCCATCTCATTTCCTACGGAATTACAGATTCTAAGCATGGACACTTGATTACGCTAATATTTCCATTAACGCCATTTCGGTACCACTAATTTGGAGTGAAAAGTACCAAAAAAGTCCAAAACATATCGTATCTGTACCAATTCAGTCATATTTTAAATTGGAACAATTTAGTCTTAAACTTTTTCTGAATTGGTACCAATTCAGTCCATCCGACCAATTTAGGCGGGAAATTGCTGACATGGACGCTGGCCGTCCTACATGGCATTGCCGGCGCTGACATAGAAATTTTTTATAAATTTTTTTCCCTTTTCTTTTCTTTTCTTTTTCTTGGCTTGTGGCCAGTGCTGTGAGGGTCCTCGCCAAAGGCCGTGAGGGCAACCCCCAGGCGGCGAGGTCTCGGCCCTCGCCAGATCTGGTAAAGGCCGCCCTCGCCCAGGCGGCAACGGTCAAGCCCTCACCAGAGGCCGAGAGGGTTGAGCCATCCCTAGTGGCCGGTCGCTGGCCATGGCCAAGTACTGGTCACAGGCCAAAGGAAGAAAAGGAAAAAAAGAAAAAACGGAAAAAAATTTAATAAGAAATTTGAAAATTTATTTAAAAATTATAAAAAAATTATTCATGTCAGTGTCAGCCGTGCCATATAAGATAGCCGGAGTCCACGTTAGCAATTTCCGGCCTAAATTGGCTGGATAGACTCAATTAGTACCAATGTGAAAAAGTTTAGGATTAAATTGGTCCAATTGAAAGGTTTAGGACTGAATTGGTACCAATGCAATAAGTTTAGGACTTTTTTGATACTTTTCCCCTAACTTGGAAGGTTGTTATTTAAATGGTCATGCAATCTTGATCACCGATTATGAACCTAAAGGTATTAAAGCGACTAAATGATGCATATCTTCTTGAAGGGATTATGAACCTAATCTACCAACAAGCTATTGAAATGACTTTGAAGTAAACAATCAAGTAATGAAAGCATCTAAGTAAAAGGTACCGGAAATGAAAACCCGATACAAGTCCGGCAAAGAATATACAAGGCCATGTTGTAAGCCATAGGACATGATTCCCATGAGCTAAATTTGAATCACGTTCAATTTCTTTTCCAAAAAGAATAGTCACTGGGACTAAACTTAATGAAACTAAGCTAAACCTAGAGCTAAAACTAAAAAAATCTATTAAAGGCCTAGTTTTAAGCATTTTCTGATTTTTTAATATTTTCGAAATTTTTATTATTATTTAATATACAGTCATCCATTTGCAAAAACACACAACATGCGGACGGAACAAAGGGATACAATCATAAGGTACAACACGAACTTCACAGAGGGTCGGCATATCAAGTAAAACGTATGGGTACGCGCTCGAAGTAATCCACATGCATTTCGCCGAGCATGTGGTGAGCGCAAAGTGAGGAGAAGATATTGACCATTTCTTATAACTCTAACTCAGATCCAAACCCAAAGAAATCATTAAGAAACACCCGAAATCAACTATTGCAGCTCGCTCAAAGCCAGCACGCGCATGGACTAAACGAAAGAACGAATCTCGGTTTCCGGTTGGACCAAAACAGGATGAAGCACGGGAGGGAGGTTCACGGGGATGAGCGAGACTCACCGGAAAAGCTGGGAATCGGGGGAGAGGGAGTCGTGCGAGAGAGGGCGCCGGCAGGAGGTCGTCGGACGGCGACGGTGGAGATGGCCGATCGGGTTCGGCCAAGAAGAAGGAATGCGTGAGGCTGTCTCTAGAGAAAACAAAAAGAACCGAGAGCCTCCTTCACCCCTCCCTGTGAACGATCCCCCTTCTATTTTTCGATTTTTTTTTTCATTTTTTCCTTTTCTTTTCTTTTTTTTTCCTCTCCTTTTTTCTCCTCCAGTCGGTCGCCGAGCCTAGGGAGAGACAAAGCCTAGCCCGCAATGGTAATTGGCGAGGTCGATCTTGCAGCCCTTCCTCTGGCCGATTGTCGAGGCCTGGCAACCGACCGGAGGAGGAAGAAGGGGAGTAAAAAAAAAAGAAAAGAAAAGGAAAAAAAATAGAAAAGAAAAATAAAAAACAAAAAATTCAAAAAATATTAGATATTATTAAAAATTGCCCATATCAGCGTCACATAAGCCGACCAGTGTTCATATTAGCGATTTTTTTATCAAAAATTAGCCGGATAAACTCAATTGACAAGAAATGAAAAGGTTTAGGACTTAATTGGCAATAAGTAAAAAGGATTAGGACTCAATTGAGGTTTAGGATTGAATTGATAAAAATACAATAAATTTTGGACTTTTTGGATAATTTTCCTGGGTGTGGTGTGATTTTGGTGTTTAGAGAGTGTGGGCATAATATCTAGAAAAATCTCCAACTTTAATTCTTATCCCAATTCTATATTTTCTCATAAAAAACCTTCAACTCAGTTCTCAATTTTATCCAAAACATATATTTGTATTGCTTGCGAAAATGAATGACTAATTATCAACTATAAATTGTCGTTGATAATAAAATTATTTTTTATCAATAAATTATTTCAAATGATACAAGTGATCATTTTAAGAAAATGTAAATGTTGCAAAATGTAGAGGATTTACAGAGATGGGGATTTGATTTCGAAACAGAACCAACAATTGACTTGAAGCTAGACTGGAGGAGGGGGCTCTCGTGTGGGATAATGACAACAATCTATTAAAATTGAGTGCAAATAGAAAATATCTAGTGGTACTAGAGCGCCACGTCAGTTGTGGATGTGCATACATTTATCCAATTCGGTCACTCACAATCTGACATGTGGCAAAGTATTGTAAAAAAAGAAAAACTTGCAAATACTAGAGTTGGGGATCATAATTGCACAACAACTTTATTAAAAAATTTAAATGGCCGCCTAGCTCTTCTTTCTCCTCCTTCAACTCACTTTTTCCTTCGTGACAAAAGAGAGCGACCAAATTCGCTCCTCGTTTGAACGCTCCTTCTCCCAACTGCACCTTCATTCACTCAATCTCGCCTCTTCATTCCCTTCCTGACGCCTCGCCCTTGCCAAGACCCAGACCCAACCCGCCCAAGACCTCGGGTCTCACTAATCTCCCCTGAAAGACATATCGCCCAACTGGATTTGTATTGCTAAAACACTTTCATGCAATATAATTTTTTAAAAAAAATCATAAGAAACGAGCTTTCCTAAATTTGATTAAATGGATCGGGTTGAGTATGAGTTGGGTATGAATTGGGTATAGATCGAGAAATTTGCATTACGATAAATAAGTCATAAACGGGTTAAATTAATCAATTTGGGTCAGGCCATTTAGGATCCAATCCAAACCCGTCCCAAATCCAACCCGACCCACCCGTGTCTTCCCTTTTTTTGTCTCTTTAGTTCTTGCAAAACTAACAGCAAAATGTTCAAAAACAGTTTGTTATCTAATTACAGAATCAGCAAATCACTCCAAAGAAGGATAAAGCGAAAATCGGCTAAAAGTATTCCGACGAGAGCAAAAAGGTGAAAAACTAGAGTGCGCAAAAGTTTCCTACTCCTATTCCTAACCTCCATTACAATAAGAAGGGTTAATTTGAGAGACGAAAGTTTGCTGTTGTCCTCCCTGAATAGCATCCAGGAACCTGTCGATGTTAGTCTCAATGATGATTCGTGAGCTCGGCCGGTTCTGCCGGGTCTATTTTCCTGAAACCCGATCTGCATGCCAGCTGGAAAAACCTTCTCCCAAGGCCTCTTGCATCCACGGGTACCTACAACACTCCATGGCTTCAGCAATAGGGGTGAGCGGTTCTAGGTTCCGGGTAGGTTCCGCCCGGAACCTAGAACCTACCCTCGGGTACAGGTTCCTCAAAATGAGGAACCTGAAACCTACCCGTCAGAACGTGGAACCTGGAACCTACCCTGTCACAGGTTCCAGGGTCGGTTCCAGGGTCCAACAGGTTCCTTTTTTTTATTTCATTTTTAGTTAAACAAAACGAAAAATGAATGCAATAATACCGAATAAGAGAGAATACAAAACAAACAAAATTATCAACAAAGGAAACAGAATTGGCTGCTATTTGGCAAGGAATTTCATTAGATAAAAGAGAGGAAACATAACAAAAGTCACTAGACTTGTCACCAGACTTGTCACCAAGTTTCAGTCACTAGACTTGTTAGAGGACATGACAAAATGAAATGGATGCTGCTGCCGTGCAAGAGGACATCACCAACTCCTCTAAATCCTACTTCTATCAATTTAAACATTTGAAACGAAGATATTCGTACTAAAAGAGCTAAGTTTCAGTCATTAGACATAATTGTTGTTCCCCGAGGAGCAAATGCATGGTACCCATTGGAGTTGCTCTTTTCCTGCCAAGCAAACAACATGAGAACATATTAGCCAAGAGCACTTGAACTTTTACTAGTGGTCTTTATGCAGTAAGATATTATCATATCCGAATGAAAGAACCTAAATCAAAGTATCATACCAATTAACTATAGAAATCAACTAACTTCGAGTTGAATTACTACATTTCCACATCATAATACAACTCCAACATCTCATTGCACACAATTGTCACCAGCAACTGTGTTTTACTCTATCTAACCTCAATATTTGCATGAGTTCATACAAATACATGTTCAACTTTGGTGGCAAGACTATCCTAAATCTGTGGTACTTCATCAGAACCTTGAATTCACCTAATACTCAACGAGAAGATCTCATGTGAGAATTCGTAAAGATAGAGCTTTTTCTTTTTTCTTTATGTGCTAAAGAAAAATTTAGAGCTTTTACTCTAGCAAATTGTAAAAATGGATATAGCATCACATCGTAATCCTTATATTTGATGGCGGATCAAACTATATATTCGGCAACTACTAAATATCAGCAAAGAAAAATCAGATCCGCTAACGGATGCAGCTTTCACCCACAGCGAGAAGATAAAAATCATAGTTAACCACTTATTCTACTCCAAGAAAGAGAATAGACAAGAAGAAACAACTTTGAGGGCCCATAATTCACACGGAGAAGTCACTTTTGAGATCTTAAAAACCTCAACTTCTCATATGGTTCATCAAAAGGGAGGTGTAGGGTGAAGATACAAAGAAACCTTTACAAGAAAAATATAAGAGTAAGACTAGCCAGCGAAGATAAGCAACCACACTTTCATAGTTTCAAAGAGAAACTGACATAGAAGTACAGCATAAGTTAAAATTGCTTGTTGCGCTACAGTTCTACTGATTACTGAGAAAATAAAATTCCAAGAAGAGGGAAAAGGCAACAAACAAACAAGCAGCAAGAACTTTCAAGATCCTGTGCTCTTTACTTATGGCAAAATCATGGTCCCGACTCCTGATTCATGCCAACAATCCCCAGATCTAAAATTACAACTACGCAGCCACCAAGTATCACACAAAAACCAGCAATTTAAGCAAATTATTTCGCATGCAAGAAAGTTCCTTTGCTGGATTATAACAACTCAAACAACATTACCTCCATGCAACCCAAATTCTAGGAAGCACAGAGAAATAGAAACAAAATCGAGATTCCAGAGGCTGCTCTCCTGCTGTTACCACCTTCAGATAGAGCAAGAAATATGTATTCGACAGAAAAACTTGTACACAATTCGTCTACAGGAAAAGCTCATTACTTCTGAATATATATAAACTGCAGCTCTTCACAACATATACTAGCTTCCAAACAAGCAGCAAATCAGTGACAGAATCATCTAGATATCAAAAGGGTGCATCGTAGCAACAATGCAACATCACAAATTAGCATCCTCCATTTCCCAATCTTTTTTTCTCGCATGAAAGATGGGCAAATTCTCCAGATTGCTGAATCATTTTTCCTGCCCTTCACAAAATAAACAAAATTTAACAAGAACAACAACTCTCTAGAAAATAAGTATTAGAAAGCCTCACCACATGTATTCATTGATCCATTCCGCTTCAACTCGTAAACTTTATTTACCGACGATAATCTCCTCATTAAGACAATCCATATCTAAAAAAAAAGAGATTAATAAAATATTCACTTATTAGATATATAAAAGAAATTACAATATATAAAGATATAAACATCACTTACCCATCTCAAATTTTTCTGCATTTTCTATGCATTCTTCAACATCAATCGGCACACGAACGGCTCTCAACCAATCTTGAGTGCAAATCAAAGCTTCCACTACTTTGGGAGTCAAAGAACTTCGAAAGCCATCAAGAACACGACCCGATGTACTAAAAGTCGACTCCGAAGCAACAGTAGTTACGGGAATAGACAAAACATCCCGAGCCATCAAAGATAGGATTTTATATTTTGAGCCACTAGTCTTCCACCACATCAAAAGGTCAAGATCAAGAATATTTTCATTTTTTTCTTCAAGATATTGATCAAGCTTAGATTTGTTGTCATTGCACACTTGTTGGTTCGAGTGCATAAAGGTTCTTCGCCAAGCTTGGGCATCATACTTCTTGATCCTGTTACCTTTACTACCACCGGCATCGGCATTGGAACCACTGCTACTAGCATTCAAACTTTGGGCACCCAAATTTCGATCACTTGAAGCAAGAGAAGATTGTTCATAAAATTCATATAAACGCTCCAATGCGTCCTTCACCTTGTAATGCATCTCATTAACTTTCAATTCATCATCATAAATTTGTCCATACAAGAAATTCACATAACTCAACTTGGCTCTAGGATCCAACACAACCGCAATCAACACCAACATATTCACTTTATCCAAACTCCCATAGTATTTGTCAAATTTCTCTTTCATTTTCATACCCATAGCTTGAAGTTTAGGATCCGAAGCATCCGCCGCATCTTTCAAATATTTATACAAAAGAGCTATCCCTTCAAAATAATCATTTGAGGTAACATATGAACTCCCCGACATTCGATTGGTGGCATCATAGAATATTTTTAGAAATTCTGAAAGAATAATGGCATTTTCCCAATCATCATCTTTAGGAAGATCATGGTTAAGCTCACCGACAAAAGCTGAATCATCTTCTTCCATCCTTTCAAAAGCTTTTCTAAATTTTATGGCGGTGTCTAACATGAGGTAAGTGGAGTTCCATCTAGTGGCGACATCAAGAATAACTGAACCCTTGTAAGTAATCTTTTCACCCTCAATGCAAGATTTAAATGTGTTGGCTCTCATGGGAGAACTCCTCACATACCTAACCACATTTCGTATACGTGCAATAGATTCTCGTACCGTAGTCAAGCCATCTCTAACAATCAAGTTTAATATATGAGCAGTGCACCTCATATGTAAAACACTACCATCTAAGATCAACAACTTTTCTCTTGAAAGTTTTTCCTTCAAATAACCAATTGCAACATCATTCGGACTATAGCATTATCCACGGTGATTATGGATACCTTCTTTTCTATTCCCCACTCGTTGATGCATTTCTCCACCATTCTCCCAATCTCCCTACCCTTGTGACTAGGCATCACCACAAAATTGATGATTCTTTTATGCAACTTCCAATTTTCATCAATAAAATGTGCAATGAGACACAAATAATTCAGGTTTTGAATGGAACTCCATGTATCGGTCGTGAGTGCGATCCTAGAATTTATCTTACCAAAGTAAGTCTTCAAACAAGTTCTTTCACAAAAATACAGCTTCATACAATCTTTAGCCATTGTAAAACGTGACAAATGTTTAAAGAGAGGTTGTAACTCGGTGACAAACTCGCGAAATCCAACACGCTCAACCAAGGAAAAGGGTAGTTCATCAACTATGATGAACCGAGCGAGCATTTGCCTACAACGTTCTTGATTAAATGACCATGTCGATAAGACACTACCAGTACTAGAACCTTCTCCTGCCTTGCCAGCCAAGTCTACATTACGCGGTGCAAAGAATTTTTGCCTCTTATCAACATTGCAAGGAAACTTCTTACATGTTTTCAAGTGCTTCCTCATTGCGGAAGTACCATGAGCAACATTGTACTTTAACTCAGATCCACAATGAATGCACTTTACCTTATATGTTTTTCCATCCCCATCTTTGATTCTTGCAAAATGATTCCAACAATCGGACGTACATTTGTTATTAGAAGGAGGACGGCAAGAATCAAGTACCTTGTTTGTCGCACTCGTGATAGGGGATGGCTCTTCTTCATTTTCATCGCCCGACAATTCAAATTCTGTGATCGGAGTCATCTCCTCACATCCCTCAACCTCCATTGACATGTTATCTTCAATTCTTGATAGTTGATAGGTCAATCAAACAACACTGGCCAAGCAAACAACACGAGAACAGATTAGCCGAGAGCACTTGAACAATCAATCAAACGACACGAGAACAGAACAAGACAGCAGAAAAGAAAATGCAATTTGAATCTCAAGCAGCCATATTCCAAAGTTGCAGCCATAATGGATCTTGAATGCAAAGGATGCGCATTTACACGGGCAAATAATAGGAATTGGGATGCCAATGTGAAAGAAAGACTAGATAGAGCTCCATGCAACATAGACTAGAGAGTAACATCCCAGAAGTGGAAGCATACGCATTACCTGCTATAGACTCCGACCGTAGTCCTATCTTGCTAACTTTCTCAGCGGAACCTGCAAAAAGAAAGAGAGAAATTAAGTTTTAAGTTCTCTTCTCAGAAGTCACCTGACTAATTGAAGACAGATCGATATTCACTCGATTCCAAGACCAATTCGTACAGATAAAAACTCACCTTGATAAACAAAATGCAAAAGCCAGTACAGTCGACAATGATCGAACAAAAATAAGAAGCCGTTGCTTAACAGCTTGACTAGCTTCAGTTGGTAAAACTACTGGATCCAATGCTGTGTAACATAACCAGTTCAGTTTAGTACAAACAGACTTGCTGGGAATAGAATAAATGCGAACATACACCTAGACTCATAAAATCATTTATGCACCTGCAAATGAGTGTCATTCTAGTCCATACTATCAAAGGTTGGAGATATGATGTCATAACATAGTGTGTACTGCTCTTCTGCCAACTGTTGTCATTTTTCTGCATAAATTGGAGATAATTGTTCAAGCAAATTATTTAATGAATAGATCTGTCAAAAAAGAAATAATTATAGGAGAATGATTGTTTTTACATGAAGAAAGACAACCCTAACAAAGCGCATGAGTGGACCAAGACCCCATGCAGCAAATGCAATGACACCAACTGCTGGGACCAGCTTAAATACAAAAGGGCTTCCACCTAAAGAGTCAAATGACCTGCACGAAGCACATTAAAATCAAATTGTTACATATTATCAAGAAATCTGAAGAAGTAACATATTCAATTAGCACCACTTTGTTCCAGCTAAAAGATATAAGAATAAAAAAACAAGAATTAGCATACGCCGGAGATTCATTCGATTGCAAGAGTGTAGAGAGAGAGCTTAGAGAATTTGTTTTCCTTTCTAGTCCAAAAGGAGAATTCTTTTTCATTGTCCTGTATCTTCAAGATGACGCCATTCATCTTTACAAATTCAAACAACAGTTCCAAGTAAAAATAAAATCTCTAAATCGAAAGAATGGCATCTATCTACAATCAAATAGATCACTCAATCAAACCACACACGGATCAAGAAACATAAAAACGACACCCGACAGATCAACACACCCAATCATGCACGAGACAATTAGCCAAACATATTCAATGGGAAGCAAGATTTGCCGTCAACCATAGAGCTGAGCCTCGATTCACTCAAACAAATTGCTACAGAGCACAGATCGGCAACACCCACACCCGCAAACAGCAAGAAACCAGCCGAACAATGTCTCGAAATCCAGCAGAAACCCGGTAACATTCCCACATCCGATCCGATCTACAGAATACTCGCCGGCGACCAATGAAAAGACAAAAACAAGAAGAAGGCTGGACCACCAAACCACGATCGCAGGCATCTAGATCTAAGGACAAACCCAACAAAAAAGACGAGAACTTTTAACGCCAGGCTTAGGGGCTTCACCTAGATCGGGGAGGCCCGAGAGACGGAGAAGGACCAAGACCCACCTTCGGAACACGGCGACGCTCCGGCTTGGGGGTGTGCGTGTGTGTAAGAGTGAGTGAGTCTGTGGATGGGTTTGGGGGGTGTGCGTGTGTGGCGAAACGAATGCTTTGGAACTTCAAAGATGTGATTCAAGAAGAGAAGGGAGCATTTGGGAATTACTGAAGTAGGGTTTCTACCGGTTCCAGGTTCCGGTTCCGATCCGGTTCCGGTTCCTAAAAATGGGGAACCGGGAACCGGACCCTCTGTCCATGGAACCTGGAACCGAACCGGATCCACCGGGTCCGGTTCTCCGGTTCCCGGTTCTACCCTGGAACCGCGCTCACCCCTATTCAGCAACAGTTAACCAACTTCTCTGGCGAGGGCTCTGCTCAGGCCAAGACTCGAGTTCCTCCTTCACTAGCAATGCGAAAACGGCAGCTCTGCACCAACCTTTAGGAGAAAGCTCGTCCTGGAGTGTCTTGCTCTTGAATTCGTAGTAGCTGATAAAATGCTAGAACACATAAGGTTTGCTTAAGAACAATGTGGACAAACAGGTAAAACTTAAGGAAAAGTGATACTTGTTTGTCTGGTCAAGTATAGTAATATTTTAACAAAGCTGGCAAGGGCATCGAGGTCAGTCTCTAGGTCTAAAGTTAATGTACCAGCTAGACAAGTACAAATCAAACAAATTATGGCACATATAGAGTTATAGTCTCAATGAAAACAATTGCAACTTGAACCTTGAACCTATATATGAGTGTAGATAAAATACAACTCGCACTTCACTCTTACCACTAAATCTCCCCGAACCCCAGCTTCCTCAAGAGCTTCACGCGAGGCAGCCTGCTCAACAGTTTCATCATCTTCCCAGCCACCCTAAAATTTCAGAAGTAAACAATCCTTGGATAAAATTTATACAGCAACAAGCAACAAAAAATATGCAAGAACTCTTATCAATAGCACACGGAATTGCCGTAAAAAACGTGACCATGGAGGAAAAAAGTGAAAGAATAGGAAAGTTTCTCCTCTTCCTGGCAAACATACAAGAAAAATTTTAGTCATCTTAGTCCCAGTAACCGAACAAAGGGAAAAAACAATTTTGAGCTTGCAGCAACTCCTATGCTTTTTATTCATGAGGCTTTCCACTCTAACAGCTGGAACAGTCAAATTATGAAAAAAAAATGCTCTTTCCAAGTCGCCATTAGGCTGTTGTTGATGGTAAAAGAGTATTTCCTTTAAAGAGATCTTTCTCTAGTTTTTACCATCGAGTTAGTTTGAAAATGAAAACAATCAAGAAGACAACTGCCCACCATACAATGCTACATTACTTCCTAAGCAAATTTCCATACTACCACCTATCCGGTTACACAATAGGACTTGTTTTTTACCGGCACATATCAAGAGATGTCCTACAATACCCAAAGGAAAATAAATAGACATAGTCTGGTCCTCATGTCTCAAATATTGACCCAGAATCCTTCTTTCACATCTCTACATCTACTGAGTAGCTAGAACTTCACAGGAGAATTTTGCCACAGATAGTTCTGAAAAAACACTGGATGCTTCAATGTGACCTCCGAGAATAAGGGTCATTCAATCTGCAGCGGTCCATCATGCCTTGCAAGCTAGCCTCGCTCATACAATAAGGGGTCAGATGAGCAAGATTGTTAAAATTGACAAATGCCGCTGTATGTGGAATAGAATCATAATGTTGGACCCCATATTGTCAGATTCCTAGAATTTCCAACCATATTGTACAGAATTCCAAAGGAATGTTAATAGAAGGACCTGTATCGTTTGTAAAGCTAAAATTTCGAGTCAATTCTACATTTGCATATATAAAAAATGGAGTTATTAACGAGTGTCCTGGGACACTTGTTAAACACCCGTGTAAAGAAAGATGGTAATTTCCAATGCATTGTCTCTCTCACGTGATATGTAATCAATACATTTAAAATCAAAACATTTACTTATTAAGTTTACTTAACAGGTGCCCTAGGGGCACTCGTTAGTAAGACCCATATTGATTCACATAAACATCATATTGGCAATATCTTAACATCTCACAATGATCCTATGATTTTATCAATTATTATGGGGTCTGTATAAAGATCCCAGCACATTAAGATCATGGTAAGATCCAACTCTCCCTCAGTTTTGTTCCTGTTTCTATGGTTTTAGCTCACAGAATTATAAGATCAAAAAATCTTAATATGGATTTCAACATCAATGCTGATGAGAGCTTCAGTAAGAATTCTTTTTCAAGCCTTGCAACTTAATTTCTCGAAAGTCATCATAGACTTTGATACTAAAGTCGCGGAAAGTTGCAATTTTCTCAGCTATACATACATGCAAAACCTACCTCACCACTGACCAGATCTTTTGGTTCTAGAGAATACACTGAGTATAGCAGGAGACCACCAATCGGTTTACTTTCAATGATCTGGCTACAAAACTTCTTACAGATGCATAGGATTGGGAAAAGAGTAATTTTACCCTGGAAGAGCCGTCTCCTTGCAGAATCTCATCAAATATTAGCTGTTCTTACGAACTTACGGGTTTTCAGAGGCTCTCAAGTCTATAAAGTTCACAAGGATAAAATATCTGACATATAGTTGGATGCATAGCGTGCACTATTTGCGACAGTTCAATTCAGCCAAGACACCATAAGTATTGATTACATTGCGTATGATGAAGGATATGTTGACTTCTGGTTATCATAAGGAGCACGCAAAAACACAGAGAAAAATGGATGATGTTAACCATTTCTATTGCAACATTGTATCATTTAAGAACTTTATAATAACGAAGTAGCGATGTATATACATTATCATCGTAACATTCTTCAAAGGGGCTTTTCTTTTTTGTCAAGATTCTTTGAAGCATCGGATGAAGGGATCAATCTTTACACTTCAAATTTTGTACCTCTGGAAACAGAAGACCAGGTCCGCTGGTAGAATTGATCATCAGTATCTCAACATCTCCGTGACATACACCATTCCCATTCTCGACAGCACTTCTATACTTGAAAGGAACACACCTGTTTCCATCGGTTAGTAATTTAAACACTGCTGTATTATTTCCACAGATCCTATTGACATTAATGCATGTAGGGAAACCATACGTCAAACACAAAAAAGCTCTCTCATTTTGCAGGAGGAGATTCAAGCTCATAAACCGACATCTCATGTGCAAGACTGCTGGTTTTTGTTTTTTCTTTTTAATAGGTGAACTCCTCTCTGTTGCTGGTACATCGTAAGTAATGACAGTTGATAAAACACATCAGAGGGAGTGACCTTGTGAAACCTTCAATGCCATCAGCATGGCAAAGGAAGTGAAGTTGCTTTTACAATCTCCAAACAGAATCAAAATCCAGCAAGCGATGTCTTGGCTTGTGGACTCATTAAAAATTGAACCTCCTTAACAAGCGAAGTCGCAATGGCAATTGCAAAGCACTAAGATATAACCATGCACCAGCCAAGACTGAGGTTTCATTCACTTCCAAAATCAACACCAGATGAGGCTGATGCACCGATCAATCAATCGGTCTATCCAATGTCCCCAATCTTCACAAGTCTCACACAACTCGCTATTCGCCAGACACTTCCCTGAGCCGATAAGGAACCAATGCGGATGGACCTGACAATGACGCACAGGCAATCGAAATACAGAGGCATGGAAACTAGAAGACAAAGGTGGTAACTTTTCCATGAAGTACCCGGCCACAAGTCGGAAATCGTCCTTGTAGCACTCCTGGTGGCGACCGGTGCGACCACCAATCCCTCCATGGCTTCGGATCTCGGGAACAGGAAGAGGGTGGGGGCAAAATGCTACCGAACTCCGGTTTCGGCGCGGTGACGGAAGAAGCAGTTCCGGTTCGCGATTTCGCTCATCGTTTCGCACGAGCGCTCCTGGAAACGAAGAGAATGATGGGCAATTCGCTTCTCTCCCTCCCTCTCCCTCCCTGCCGCAACAAACGGTGCCGCTGACAACCGACACAGCTCGTCATCGGCAACGCTTTGTCCCACTTTGCTTCAGCTCAGATTCACAGTGAGAGAGAGAGAGAGAGAGAGAGAGAGAGAGTGCGCATGCTAGCATTAAATTACAATCTTGTTCTTGAATCGATAAAAACTAGGTGGCTCTTCTTCAATGTCTCTCTGTCTGTCTCTCTGTCTCTCCCTCTCTGCGCTTCTGCGTTTTCTTGGTATTATCTGTTTATTATATGCTGTTGGGTCTGAAATCTAGAACCTTTCAGTTCTTGATGGGATGGGTTTCTTGTGGAAAGCGATGGCTCCTTGCTCTGAAACTCACATCTTTTTGTACTTTCTCTGTGCCTGATTTCTTCAGAGTCACAGGGTTAAAGGGATCATCTGAAATATTTGCAGTTCATTCAATCTGATCTTTAAAGTTCTTTCCTTTGGCCAGTAGCGGCGGCACCATCCACGCACCGCCCAGGGGCTGGCCGCCGTCGACACCTCCGCTGTGGAGTTAGGCCAAAGATGGCGAGAGTGCACCACCTTCGCCGCCGAGTTACGTGAACAAAGGGAGCCAGCCCGGGCGACCCTCGCCGGGCTCGCTGCTGCCTGTGAAGGTCGGGTCGACGGGGGCCAGGCTGGCAAGGGGCAAGGGGCCCTCGAAGAGCGATGCGAATCAGCATAACTAACATACACAAAGCAGCAAGGACAGTATTTACTCCTGTTCTTTTTTAAATATCAACTGAGCAATTAACGCTGTAAAAATAGTTGACGATCACATTGATCTGGTGCTGAAGTTCCATGAAGCTTGTAAGGTATAGAACTGGACTGATGATTGCCTAAAGCTCTATTATACATTGAGTGGCTGAATCTCCTGTTCAGTAACTCCTTGCAATCTGGGAAATGGAAGAATACGTCCCCAGCGCGGCACTGACGACGCCCACGACCACGATGGCAGTACTCAGTATAACCTGAACATATCGAGCGAAAAGAAATGTATCAGCAATTTGAGCATTGGACAGAAGGGTACTATGCCGATAGGATCTTAGTTTTTTAGAATTTATCAAATAAGACCGATGCCGAGGTGACATCCCGGCTCCCGCATATTAGTGTTTACCAAGTTAATTTTTGGATTCAAAGTACTAAGGCTGCGTTTGGTAACTGGCCAAATAGTAACTTATTCTATTTTTTCGTTCCCAGATTCAGTTTTGAAACAAGAATCAGAAATGGACAAGAATTTCTTCTTCTTCTTCTTCTTCTTGGTTTTCTTCCTGGTCTGTGGCCGGTCGCCGGCGCCGACGACCTGACCATGGGCCAAGGAAGGGGAAGAAAAAAGAAAAAAAAAGGAAAAATAAAATAAAAAAATATTTTAAAAATCAAAATATTATTAATAAAAAAAAATTTTGTGCAGTTACCAAACGCATTTCTTTTTTTTATTTTATTCCAAGAATAGAAATTTTGGGCAGTTATCAAACGCCTTCAAATGCTTAAATATTTTTTTCCGGGACCGAAATAAAAAAGAATAATTTCTGAGCAGAAATTATTTTGGGGAATAGAATGGTTATCAAATGCACCCAAGCTACCCATTAAAATTCATCTTCTGCATAAAGATTCTGTTTTCCTACTTTCTGGCCCCAACAGGGGAATAGTAAGAGCAAGCATGATCAAAACTGCAAGTGCTCCACGGCCTATCTTATGTACGCCACATTTCTATAAGCCTCATACTTTTACTTCTCTCCTTTAAGTTGAATTCACTTCTGCCAATGAAAGTTTTACCCAAGATCCAGTCTGAAGTACCTGCATTTTTGTTGCTTTGTTCCCCATAATCCTCAGAAAGCACAAAGCTGGCATAATTACTGCCTGAATCAAAGATAGTGGTTCAGAAAAATCGGGAGCGCAAAACTTGTATTCTTCAATAACAGGTCAGATGGAGATTCCAAGAGATGGAGATTCCAAGAGACAATAACAAAGCCCTAATAATGCCAAGTTATTGCTTTTATTCCTCAAGGAAGATCATTGTCAGATACTATGAATTAACAGCACGTAAACAAGTCCCATCCTCAAATATCAAGCAGTTGAAACTGATAGAATATCAACACAATGGCACGATTTTACCAAGAAGAATTTGAGGATCTGCTAAGCTAAACCGATTAGCTTTGTTTGTTGCTAACTGAAAATTAACCACGAATTTTTCTAGATCTTATTTTGTTGGTGTTCAAATTGCTTCTAAGTTCTCAAAACATGTAAGAAAATGTATGTAGTCTCTCGCCAAAATTGAGAGACGTGCTTGTATAATTCAACTACGGAATCCTTGAACAATTACTGCAGAAAAACTTAGTCCCACAGTAGACATGGAAGTGAGGACTAAAAAGAAAAGAAGGGACAGAAGTGTGCCAAATAGTGCCTTTATGCTCATATGCAGATAGTAGTAAAGATAAGGTCTATCTGTTGGAAAATGTGAATGAGATAGGAAGCGGTTCAGAGTCGATCAAAATCTTTAATAAATGCAGCACAAGTCCTGGTTTTGACCTTGTTAAGAAAACAAATGGTCCATTTATCAATATTCCGAGCATGAATGGACTCAAATGGATTACTCTGGAAACGACATCAGACACAGCAAGGCTATACAGAAGAAAGATATAAATCCAAATTCAAGTTAATGAGGTAATATCCCTACCACAAGAACACTTAGGAGGGAACCAATTAAAGCCATTACAAGACCTGCATCAAACCAGAAAAAAGTTATACTGACAGCACCACATAAATGTCAAGTACTTGTGTGAAATACTAGATGTAGCTGGGAACCATGGGTAAGCAAACGGTAAAAGTTGGAGCAATGCCGTAGATCTTCCGTAATATGAGGTTTGTGCTGATGCAAAGTTTAACTACATTATTTACTCTTTGCGCAGTATGCTCTTCTGAAATTCTAAAGACAAGCATCCCTCATCAGTATGTGCGGATTCACTTGTAGAATCTGTTCAAGACAGTTCCTAACATCGAGCATCTATTAGTGTCTCAATGTGGGTTTCTCATAAAAAAAAAAACTGCAATAAACTATGTCAAGTGTGGCACTTCAAAATAGATGTGACGAATATCTCAACCTAGAATATTTGAAGGTATTACCATGGAACATAATACCGAGGAATGGAATGTTTGGTAACAGAGAATCCATCTGTTTTTATACAATTAAAGCACACTTGCCTTTGTTACGTGTTAATGAGGAAAAGGAAAAACTATTTCTACGCCTCCTAGTATTGGAAGTATCGATATTGAATGAAAGATTCTTGCAGTTCAAGTTTTCCGGTAGCCTTGAAGAGTAAAAATTCCAGTAGTCCTTTATGTTTAATTTAGCTAATATCACCTTTGGCAGCCGCAAGCAAAGGGTCACTAACCAAGAAAAGAGAGGGAGAGAACAATTTCTAGTTTTCAAAATAGGACTTAACAAATGTGAGGGGACTACCACTGAGCTAAGTCACAGCTTATTTATTTTCTTTCGCTCAGAATTGAAGATTAGATGCGACACACTCCCAATATATATCATTAACTTAAATCCAAATGCATGCCAATCCGCCAGCTACCTCTGTAGTCTTACGTAGGTTTCATTTAACTAAAGGATATTTCGACAGTAATGATGAGGGTGAACTGTTTCTGTGAAAAGGAACTTAAAATATTTACCAAAGAAAGGAAGAAGGAAAGCAACACAAACTGAGGAGATGACCAGGGTTGTTCTAAGCAGAATATAGCACAAAAAACTGTCCGAGATTCCTGCAGGCAGCAACTCTTCTATGCTCTGTGCCAATGGGTTCATCAACAGCGCATATTTATCCAATGTTCAGGATACAAAGTACGTTATAAACAGCAATGATAAAAGGAAACAATAATTCATCAGTTTAATTGTCACGACTCAAAAAATGCAATGCAAAAAGGATATTTAGTGAACGGATTGATGACCTGCCACAGAAAAAACAAAGGGGCGCTTAGAATCCATAAAGGTATTCATTTCAAACAGGGATAGAAGCATTGCAGCAAAATGCACAAAATCTCCTACTCACTATTGTCCATATGGCGACTTTGGAAGCAATGGAATGTCCTGGCATATTTAAGGATATCTGGGATAATGTACTTTGACCAAACATGAGATATCCCAAGACTGCAACGCCGCCATATATTAAGACACACAAGATGAAGCTGCATATACAAGAAAACTTTTAGGATATAAAAAGAAATTAAGTATGTTAAGCATGTACCAGAAGAAAGTCCATACCACACAATCAATGCTTTGTTGAATTTTGTTTTATCAGCCATTGACTGATAGATGTTTGGAAAAACAGAATGTCCAGAGTAGCAAAATCCATACACACCAATGGCACATGGAATGCCACTCCAATTCACTAAGGGACTTGTTTGGTGAAATCCAATACCCTCTGTAGTACCGAGTATCACCACACAAAGGAATATCAAAGCTGTAGCAATTACTCCTCCAGCTGCAAGGATGCAATGCCAACGCAGATGAAATTCACAAGTTGCAGTTTAGATACTAAAAGAATTATAAAGGTTACTAAATCAAGGAAATGCTCTTGCTCGCCTGAGAGGTATGATATTACTCGTAGATCCCTCAACCAAACTGTAGGTAGTACAACGAGAGCAGTTAAAATTCCAAAAAGGTGCAAAGAATCTAGCTGAAAACCAGCCCAATCAAATGATACTCCAGGAAATAGTCTGGTGAGGTTATCCCCTTCCAAAATAATAAACTCCACACAATAGGACTGCAGACAAGAGCTAAGATAGTGAATAGGCTGAATTATCACAGTAAAAGTAAAAGCAATGCTTCTGGTTGGAACTTACATATAATTCGGTGTACAAAATGATCTGCAACAAGAAGCAAGAAAGACAACTATTAGACTAAAGGCTATCCACTGCTGTGCAATGAACCTTTCTTTTACTCTCCATAAATGACAATGTACCCCACAAAACCAATTAATAATCAGGCATTATTACAAGATGAAATCATAAACTCACAGAGACGAAAAGGCGCCCATATCTCCCAAAGGCAGCTTGTCCTAGATCTGGGTATGTAACGATGCCTTCTTTGCTTTCAAAGCAGTCTCTCATGAGAGAGGCAGTGTAACAGCATATGATGGCGAAAAGAACTAAAATCGCGAGACTTGCCCATCCAGCTTCTTTTATTGTGTAAGGTGTAGATAGAAGCCCCACTCCAGCCAGTACATTGATCCCTATTTTGGAATCAAGGCATCATAAAACATCCGGTCAACAAAAAGGCTTACTTCCTGCCAAATGGCTATTGATACATGAGCGCTACTGGGAAAGTAAATATATTGAACTATCACTTGAAGATGTCAAGTGGCCACTAGTGCAACGGACCATTGAAAACAGTCTGGGTGAAGCTACTTCCATGACTGATAGGCAATTCTCCCGTAATCTGTCGGTGAAATGAAGACTTAGCTGAATATGATGATTGTGCTCTTGATATCACATCTTCCTCCCTAGGATGTTTACTCTCTTCAGTCAGTAAAGGAGATCTTGAACCTGCGTCTATGTTACTCTTGGTGAAATCACTGTCATAGCTTGAATATCTTATACTTGGTGAGTGACCGAGAAATCCAAAGTTTGGCGAGATCGAGATGGTATACGAATCTGTAGTCTCCCTGCAACAAAGGGTAGAGAGCGGTAACAAGGATAAAAATAACAAGGTTAGCACTTCAAAACTGCAAAGAATAATTCTACAATGCAAATTGTTGAGTACAACATTTGAGCTCTACCATTGCTGTTTTAGCTCAAAATGTTACTTGTTCAGTGTAGAAAGAAAGGTTATAGTAGACTCGAGAAATGCTGACATCAAAATGCGGTACCACACTAGAATAAAATATTTTGCTTCGCACAACTATTACGCATACTATATAACAGACACATACACTTGACTCTCACAGTGTTCTTTTCTCGTCAAACCGACACTATTATATAAGCTGCTGCATACAGCAAACATCCACAGCCGCACTCCGTAATCATGGTGGAAAAGAAGTTGGCTTCCTGCTTCAAGGTGACGACTCTTTCACTAATCGTATATACCGGGAACGCTGATTGATGCGGGACAAAGCTGTATTTATTGAGAGTAAAATATGTTTGGTCATTGTAGGTGGACGCTTTGTGTCACGAACACAAGGTAGTTGGATTATAGTAAATGTGATGGTTGAGTCAAGTGCTATATATCGCGGAAAAAAAAACTATCCAAGGTCAATCAGTGTGATTACTCCACGGAAAGAGTAGCACAAGATTCTAGCATAGATTAAGCTATACAACAGAGGATGCAATCACACTCGAGTCACTCAAAAGTCTCAATGTTTCTCAGCCCTCAATTGTACCAAATAACTCGGTAATTAGCCCTCTCAATTGATCGCAGAACAATTTTTCAATATCACGAAGAAACTCACAAATCTATTGGCTTCAAAACATTAGCATTTTCTATGGGACATAATTCACGAGTACGCCGCACAATTGATTGTTAAGGCCAATCTCTGATGCGCAGAAACCAAACCCAATTGGAAACCCAAAAACCTACTAAAACTAAAAAATCACTCAAACTAAGAAATCTACTCAAATTGGATCGGGTTTGCTCTACGGGCTCAAACTCGACACTATACACGTCCGTGCCTTATACTCCTTTGAATGAAGCGAATCAAATATCAAATATCATATCTCTCCAATTTTCTAACTGAATCTTTGACGAAATCTTCTTCTTCTAAGAATCAGCATTGCAATAAACATCCAGGCGGGAAAAACATGTAGACTCGCAGCATCAATGTAGACTTCGAGTTTTAGCAAACTACTTTCTGCACGAACTAAAATGCCCCTTCCATCTTGATAGGCCTTATCCTGGCGGGAAACGAGGAAACTCCTAAAGTAAAAATGAGCAGGAAGCACAAAATCTATCCTGCCACAGAGTACATTTCCAAGGATCAGCAAAAGCAACGCCTCAAACATTTTTTGATGATCAGCATTCTGTTGAACGACACAAAATCAACTGGCAGCACCACATGCTCATTGTGTAAAAGATCACACGTTTACGATTCTCAAACTCAACACACCCACCTCTCAGATAAATCCGGCGTCGCTGCCGAAAGCCAAGAAAGGCCGAAACCAGGATTCACCGAGAGAACCTCCTTCGCTAATGAACACACCATCCAAAAACCAAACAAGCCACGAAAATCCAGGAACTTGGCAACTTTTCGCCATACCATGGCGTCGCCGTGGACCAATTGATCGGGGAAATATAGAAAACTAATCTCGGTTAAAACCGTAAGCAAAAGTCACCTGTAGCTCTGCGGCCACACTTGAGGGATGGAGGCGACCAGTGAACCGCTCCAGCCTCCGACGCCACCATGCGCCGCGTCCTCTTCTCCCTCTTCGTCGCTGCTACTTCCTCCGACCTTGCTCACCTCGAGATCTCCATGCTCGTTGTCATCGACGTCATCGTGTTCTAGGAAGAACTCGGCCTCTCCCTGCCGCTTCTCCTCCTCCTCCGCCATAGAAGAGCAAGAGCTGCACTCGACCATGAAACTGATAGAAAAAGAAGAAAGAAGGAGGAGGAGGAGGAGAAATGGAAGCGCCGAAGAGAGGAGAACGATGAGTTGTTAAAATATGTCTCGAGTTTGAACCCATATACGATACCCGATCCACACGTGGAGCATTTATATATACGTTGAAAAGAGAAGCACGTTTCACCTGCTCATCAAATCTTCCGATTGTGGGCGCCGAAGGATTTCTTTGAATGTTTTCTTCATGCATTAAGGAATGCATGTGACGGCCATCTTCAAGGCCATGCATTAAATGAACGGAGGAAGAAAGAAGTAAATGAGGAGCTTCTTTGACTTCATTCTCTAAAGAGAGGAGAACAATGATGGCTAAGGAGAAGAAATGAAGAGCTAAGGAGAGCTCTTCGTGTATCAAGGAGAAAAAGCGTGGGCTTCTTTTGTCCCTTTTCATTAACTCTCTGATGACTTCTTTGCTTCAGTCGCACATGCCGGGTAAGCCAAATGGAGCATACGATTTCTTCTCATAAAGATGACACTTGTAGTAAATGAGGGAGGCGCCGAAGTTGCGGCTTGATTTGTCTTTGGCAACTTCCATTCTTCATAAAAAGCAGAGAAGAATGAAGGACAAGAGTGTGTCTTTGAGCACCGAGAGAAGAGAGAACTCTGAGACTGCACAGAGGAGGATTGTGCCGAGAATTCTTCCAGCGAGGGTTTGCTTGTTGTAATTATATCCTGTAGTGATTTGGCCAGTTAAATTCTTGTGACTAGAATTTGTATAATTTCTTGAGTGAGATTTCACTAAGAATTATGAAGGGCTAAACACCAAGTGAGTTATTGGGTATAATTGAAAGCTGAGAAACACCGAGAATGTGTTTGAGTGCTCGAGTGATTGTAATCTCAATTGTATTGCTTATTTGTATAATGAAATTCCGTGCTGCTCTTCCTGTGAACGTAGGTTCCAATATTCTGACCGAACCACGTATATACGTTATTCGGTTTCCTTTCCTTACTTTCGACTATTTTGACCGATTTGATTGTCCCCCACGCCATATTTCGCAACAATTGGTATTAGAGCTAGTGTTTGCTAACTTAAAGCTAATTGGTAACAATGGAAGAAGGAAATGTGAGAATCGACCGATTTGACGGGAAAGATTTTGCTTTTTGGACGATGCAGGTTGAAGATTTTCTATACCAGAGAAATCTGCATTTACCACTATTTAGAGAGAAACCGGAGTCGATGAAAGATTCTAAGTGAGAATTGCTGATAGACAAGCGATGGGTGTTATTCAGCCGACGTTGGCTCGTAATGTTACGTTTACCATCGTGAAGGAGAAAACCGCTGCGGGACTAATGAAAGCCCTATCGAATATGTATGAGAAACCCTCTGCGATCAACAAGGTCTATTTAATGCGACGTCTGTTTCACTTAAAGATGGGCGAAGGTACGTCGGTTGCTAAACATATCAACGAATTCAATGTGGTTGTTAACCAATTAAGTTCGGTTGAGATTAACTTTGAAGATGAGGTGCGTGCTTTGATTCTATTATCCTCATTGCCTCATAGTTGGAATATTACTGTTACTACCGTTAGTAATTCCTCTAGGTCAAGAAGATTGACATTTAATGAGGTTCGCGATTTGATTCTAAGTGAAGACATTCGTAGGAAAGAATCTGGTGAACTTATGCCTGCTGCTTTAATAGGTGAAAGTAGAGGAAGAACTAGTTATCGTGTTAGCAAGAGTAGTATAAATATGAACAAACGTAGTCAGTCTAGGACTGGTGGGGTTGTCTGTTAGAATAGTGGCAAGAATGAGCATCTTAGAAGAAATTGTCTTAAGTTGAAAGATGAAAAGGATAAGAAAATTAGAGTTAAGTCTACATGTGATGTTGCAGCCGTAGCTGAAAATAATTATGATGGTGTCGATTGTGTATTGTCTGTTACTGAGGATTCGTCATTTGATGGATGGATTATGGATTTTGGTTGTTCATTTCATGCTACACCAAATAGAAATTGGTTTATCACTTATCAGTGCATGGGTAGGGGTAATGTACAGTTAGGGAACAATGCTGAGTGCGATGCTGTAGGTGCTGGTAATGTTAAAATCAGAATGCATGATGGTATTGTGAGGACATTGACTAGAGTAAGACACGTCTATAATTGAAAAAGAACTTAATTTCCTTGGGTGCCCTAGATTCAGTTGGCTGCAGGTATTCTTTAGAAGGTGGAGTTTTGAAGGTTGTCCGAGGTGCCTTAGTGATAACGAGAGGAATTAAGCACGGTGGCCTGTATGAACTTCAAGGTGAGACAATGACAGGTTTCGTCCCGGAGACGTCATATGCATATGTTCGAGAGTCTAACGACTGCTCAAGAAAGACTCGAGTGTTTGTGCTGATGCACAAGTTTGATGCTGATGTCAGGAACACGCGGTCGAGGGCTTTGATCGAGGTGGAGATAGGTAAGTCGATCAAGCATGTGCAGACTGACAGTAGTATAGAGTTTTGCTCGGAGCTGGTAAATAAATTCTGCATGAAGGAGGACATAGTGAAACACCGCACTAATGCCAGTAAACCGCAATATTTTGCAGAATTGATGAGCGAAAAATTACTAGAGACGGCCCGTAAAATGATCTCTAATGCTGGTGTTGCTAGGAGTATCCTAGCAGATGCGTTTAGTATGGTGAGCTATCTGGTGAATAGATCTCCATCGACTGCTATTGAATATCGAACTCTCGATGAAGTGTGGGTAGGTAACGTTGCTAATTATTCTATTTTTAAAATGTTTTGCTACCCGTGTTACTTTCGAGTGAGTGATGGTAAGCTATATGGGAGGGCAAGGTGCATATTCCATGGCTATGCACAAGCTGAGTGGGGTTATCGGTTGTGGTGCCCGGATAAAAATTCATTTGCTGACAGCAAAGAAGTTACCTTTGACAAGTCTGCGGTACTTCTGGCTAGGAGTGTTTGTGGCAGTGTTAATACGGATCTAGATGATGTTCATCTCATGGTGGAGTTGCAACCAGAAACTCCTAAAGTAGCAGGTATTTGCGGAATAATTGATACAGATGATGCTTGTAGCGAGGTAGAGCTAAGGTGCGTGTTTGACCTTCTGTCAGATATGAAGGGAATGATGATTTTGCTTTATCTATGATACTGGAGGTTATGTCAGAAAATCCTTGTGGAGTAGCTAACTATCCAAGTGGAGTTGGTGTCTTAATAAGGTCCACAGTTATGGCAAAATTCAAGCGCGGCTTGGACTTGACATCACTCTGTGGCGATTGAGCCCATTGGGGCTATGGGAGAGTAGCAGCGAGGTTTCCATTGAAGCGATTGTTACTTGGCTCCAATGTCGAGCCAATATGGAGAATGTTAAAATATGTCTTGATTTTGAGTCCATATACGATACCCGATACGCACGTAGAGCATTTATTGCTCATATATACGTTGAAAAGAGAAGCACGTTTCAGATGCTCATCAAATCTTCCGATTGTTGGCGCCGAAGGATTTCTTTGAACGTTTTCTTCATGCATTAAAGAATGCATGTGACGGCCATCTTCAAGGCCATGCGTTAAATGAACGGAGGAAGAAAGAAGAAAATGAGGAGCTTCTTTGACTTCATTCTCTTAAGAGAGGAGAACAATGATGGCTAAGGAGAAGAAATGAAGAGCTAAGGAGAGCTCTTCGTGTATCAAGGAGAAAAAGCGTGGGCTTCTTTTGTCCCTTTTCATTAACTCTCTGATGACTTCTTTGCTGCAGCCGCACTTGCCGGGTAAGCCAAATGGAACATATGATTTCGTTTCAGAAAGACGACTCTTGTGGTAAATGAGGGAGGCGCCGAAGTTGCGGCTTGATTGGTCTTTGGCAACTTCTATTCTTCATAAAAGGCAGAGAAGAATGAAGGACAAGAGTGTCTTTGAGCACCGAGAGAATAGAAAACTCTGACACTGCGCAGAGGAGGAATGTGCAGAGAATTCTTCCAATGAGGGTTTGCTTGTTGTAATTATATCCTGTAGTGATTTGGCCAGTTAAATTCTTGTGAGTAGAATTTGTATAATTCCTAGTGAAATCGTATAATTCCTTGTGTGTGATTTCACTAGGAATTATGAGGGGTTAAACACTAAGTGAGTTATTGAGTGTAATTGGAGCTTGGAAAGCATCAAGAGTATGTTTGAGTGCTCGAGTGATTGTAATCTCAATTATATCGCTTGTTTGTATGGTAGAATTCCGTGCCACTTTTTCTGTGGACGTAGGTTTTAATATTCGGACCAAACTACGTAAATACGGTATTCGATTTCCTTTCCTTACTTTCGACTATTTTGATCGATTAGCTTGCCCCCCACGCCATATTTTGTAACAAGTTGGACGAGTTGCCAAAAATGGAAGCACCGAAGATTGAGATTGAGAATTGCATAACCAATGTGTTAGGGGAAGGTGTTCGTGTCGAGGCATTGTGTTTTGGTGGGAAGAGCTGACGTGGCACGAGTGTATTTTTTGCTGAAGTTACGTCGGGCTTGGTCGGGGGAAAGGGTTGCCACGCGCGCGCCATTCGTGCTGTTTCTGCACGTGCCCCGGTTTTTGCACAAAGGAGATTTGATTATTCTTCTATTTTATTTTTGGTCAAAAGATTTGATTATTCTGCATTTAATGCAAACTAGCATGTTGATGATCTTTTAAATATAAAGGGCATTAAAATCCTTTTTGCTTATCTAATCCGTACGCTTTTCGAAACCCCTACTAAGCATGTTTAATGAGAAAATATTTATTTTTCAAAGTAGGGATTGTGCAATTTATGAATCACGAGAACAATCAATACATTGAAATTGCAATATTTTCTTATCTTATTGCTTAGTAGGTGTGTGCAAAAGGACCGGCAATCTCCTGAACAGCTCGGGATAGCCTAGAACCTGACTGGAACCGGTGGTTCTTAAGGGAACCGGTCTGATTCCCGGTTTCAATTTTTGGGAACCAGTGGATACCAATCCGGTTCTCTATTCCAGATGTGGAATCGT